GGGACTGGGAGGGACTGGGAGCACTGGAAGGCAACAGGTTCATACTGGTTTATACTGGTCTGTAAAGGTTGATACTGGTCCATACTGGTCTGTACTAGTCCATAGTGGTTTATACTGGTCCCTACTGGTTTATACTGGTGCGCTCACCTGCCAGTGCGCGTGTAGTCCATACTGGTTTATACTGGTCTGTATCAGTCTGTACTGGTCTATACTGGTCTGTATCAGTCTGTACAGGTCTGTATCAGTCTGTACAGGTCTTTATCAGTCCATACTGGTCCATACTGGTCTATACTGGTCTGTATCAGTCTGTACTGGTTACTGGTTTGTATCAGTCCATACTGGTCTGTATCAGTCCATACTGGTCCATACTGGTCCGTACTGGTCCATACTAGTCTATACTGGTCCGTACTGGTCCGTACTGGTGCGCTCACCTGCCGGTGCGGGTGTAGTCCATACTGGACTATACTGGTTTATATCAGTCTGTACTGGTCTGTATCAGTCCATACTGGTCTGTACTGGTCCATACTGGTCCATACTGGTCCATACTGGTCCGTACTGGTCCGTACTGGTCCGTGCTGGTGCGCTCACCTGCCGGTGCGGGTGTAGTCCAGCCGGTAGGGCCCGAACTGCTCCAGGCGCAGCTCAAAGTGCTGCAAACCCAAACCCACATTTCACCCAAAGCCAAATTCCCGAAATTCCCAAATTCCCTTTCCCCAAATTCCAACCTTTCCCTGAAAATTCCCTTTTTTCCCACCAGAATTCCACCTTTTCCTCCAAAAAATCCTCATTTTCCCCTTCAAAATCCCCCTTTTTTCCCCAAAAAAACCATTTTCCCCCAAAAATTCCCACTTTCTCCTTCCAAAGTCCCCATTTTTCTCCCCAAATCCACATTTCTTACCCTAAAATCCCCCATTTTCCCCCCAAAACCCCTGTTTTTTCCCCCACCCCTGTTTTTTCCCCGAAATTCACCATTTTCTTCCTTAAAATCTTTTTTTTCCCAAAATCCCATTTTTCCTCCCAAAACCCTCCTTTTCCCCCTCAAAACCATCATTTTTTCTCCACAAATTCCTATTTTTCCCCCCAAAAATCCCTTTTTCCCAAACAAATTTCCCATGTTCCCTCCCAATTACCTTTTTTTTACCCAAAAAATCACCATTTTCCCTCCAAAATTCCATTTCCCCCCAAAACCCCCGCAAATTCCCATTTTTCCCCCCAAAATCCCATTTTTCCCTCCCCAGACCCCCATTTTTTTCCCAAAATCCCATTTTCCCACCCAAAATCCCCATTTTCCTCCCAAATTCCCTTTTTTCCCCCCAAAATCCCCATTTTCCCTCCCGAAACCCGCCTTTTTCCCCTCAAACCCATGAGTTTTTCCCCACAAATCCCCATTTTTTCCCCAAAAATCCCATTTTCCCTCCCCAAAGTACCTTTTTTTTCCCCAAAATCCCCATTTTCCCTCCCAAACCCCTCCTTTTTCCCCTCAAACCCATCATTTTTCCCCCACAAATCCCCATTTTTTCCCCAAAAATCCCATTTTCCCTCCCCAAAATCCCCATTTTCCCTCCAAAAATCCCCATTTTCCCTCCCCAAACCCCCATTTTCCCACCCAAATTCCCTTTTTCCCCCCAAAATCCCCATTTTCCCTCCCAAACCCCTCCCTTTTCCCCTCAAACCCATCACTTTTCCCCCACAAATCCCCATTTTTTCCCCCAAAATCCCCATTTTTTGCCCCAAAACCTCCTTTTGCCCTCCCCAAACCCCCGTTTCCCCCCCAAATCCCCCATTTTTCCCCAAATCCCGGGTTTTTGCCCCGTTTTTGCCCCGTTTTTGCCCACCTTGGAGGCGCTGGCGATGTCCACGGCCTCGGCGATTTCGCGCTGCGAGATCCTCGCCGTGTCCTGGCCCGGATCCGCCTCCAGAAACCTGCCAAAAACCCCAAAAATTCACCTTTTCCCCCAAAAAAATTCTTTTCTCCAAAATTCTTTTTTTTTTCCTCTAAAAATTCCCTTTTTTCCCCTTAAAAATTCCCTTTTTCCTCCAAAATATTCCCTCTTTCCACAAAAATTCCATTTTTTCCCGCAAAAATTCCCCTTTTTAACCTCCAAAAATTCACTTCTTAACCCCCCCAAAAAACTATTTAAATTATTTCCCCCAAAATTTCATTTACTCCCCCCAAAATTTTACTTTTTTCCCCGCAAAAATTCCCTTTTCCCTCCCCAAAATTCTCTTTCTTAACCCTCCCAAAAAATCCTTTTTCCCCCCAAAATTTCCCTTGTTTTCCCGCAAAAAAATAATTTTCCCCCCAAAATTTCCCTTTTTTCCCCCCAAAAAATAATTTTCCCCAAAAAATTTCCCTTTTCCCCCCCAAAATTTCCCTTTTTTCTCCCCAAAAATTCCCCTTTTCCCCCCAAAAATTCCCCTTTTTCCCCCTTTGGGCCATTCCCGATGGATTTTGGGCCATTCCCGAAATCTGGGGGGATTTTTGGGGGATTTTGGGAGGATTTTTTGGGGGATTTTTGGGGGATTTTGGGGTTTCTCACCCCGGCTCCTCGGGCAGGAGCGGTTCCCATCTCGCCGCTTTTTCCGCCGCCGAATTTTCCTGATTTCCCAAATTTTTCAGGTGCCAGCGGAGCCGGGGGGCGACGGCGCGGGGCTGGGGAGGGAAAACGAGGGCTCAGCCCCCAAATTCACCCAAATCCCCCCAAAATTCCAACAATTCCATCCAAATCCCCCCAAAGTTCCAACAATTCCATTTAAATCTCCCCAAATCCCCCCAAAATTCCAACAATTCCATCCAAATTCACCCAAATCCCCCCAAAATTCCAACAATTCCATCTAAATTCACCCAAATCCCCCCAAAATTCCAACAATTCCATCCAAATCCCCCCAAAATTCCCAACAATTCCATCCAAATCCCACCCAAATCCTCCAAAATTGCAAGAATTCTATTTAAATTCACCCAAATCCCCCCCAAATTCCAACAATTCCATCCAAATTCCCCCAAATTCCCCCATTTTCCACCCAAATTCCTCCAGGAACCACCAAATCCCACCCAAATCCCCCTAAAATTCCTTTCAGGAACCCCCAAATTCCATCGAATCCTCCCAAATTCCTTCCAGGAACCCCCAAATCCCACCCAAATCTCCCCCATTTCCCCCCAAATCACCCCAGGACCTCAAAAATCCCCTCAGGGACCCCCCCAAACCTCCTCAAATACCCCAAAATCCCCTCAGAGAGCCCCCCCAAACTCCCTCATTTCACCCCAATTTCCCTAATTTCCCCTCAAAATCCCCTCATTTCCCCCAGAATCCCCTCACGACCCCACTGCCGCCCCCTTTTACCGCTTTCTCCTCCGTGCCCCGCAGGAACCGCTTCACTCTGGCCCGCGGCACCGGCGCCGGCCCGGGGAACGGGTCCGTCCTCTGCGGGAGAGGCAGCAATGAGGCTCGGACACCCCAAAAAACCTTCCAGGACCCCCAAAATCCACCCCAGGACCCTCAAATTTGGGGGATTTCTCCCCCCTTTCCCCTCACTCACCCCGGACACGCCGCCCGCCATCGCCACCATGTGCAGAAACCACGCCCACTTCCCGGCTCGGACCAATCAGATTGAAGCGCGGGCAAAGCGTGGCCAATCAGAGCGAAGCGGCGCGGGAAGAGGTTGAGGGCGCAGGCGCCATCTTGGTGTAGGGCAAGGCGTGTACTGACTAAAACGGGGCCGCCATCTTTGTTATGGGCGGCGCCATCTTTGTCGTGGGCGACGCCATCTTGTGTGAGGGCAAATCTTCGTACGGCACTTCCGGGTCTGATTTCCCAAATTTTGGGGCGTCCCAAATTCCACCCAAATTTCCCCAAATCCCCCCAAGACGCTATTCCCCTTCCCAAAATCCTCATTTTTACTCCGAAATGAACTTAGTCCCACAACATCCACACTTATTCCCCTAAAATGCCCTTCCCCCCCCCAAAAAAATCTGGTTTTATTCCCCAAAATTCCACGCGGATTTCCCGAAATTTTTGGTTTTTTCCCTAAATTTTATTCCCCCAAAATTGACCTTTATTCCCCACAAATCCACTCCCACCTCCAAAATCCTTTCCCTTTCCCAAAAAAACCCATTTCCCCCAATTTTCCCGTTTTTCCCCTCATTTTTTCCCTTTTTTCCCCTCATTTCCCCTCAGATTTTCTCTTTTTTTTTGGGTTTTTTTTTTTCAGTTTTTCATTTTTTTTCCCCCTTTTTCCCCTTTTCCCCCCCT